GAAGCAAACATAACCTGTATTTAGTTTGTAGATGGCATGTTTTTGTATTTTAGGCTGAAGAATAGCATAGGTCTTCTTTAAAGCAGAGCCGAGTGACATCTGTTAAAGTGAGGTGCTGTATGAGCTGTGGCTTTTGTCATATTTCACTGTAGCACTTGAAAGCATCTGTGACGGTAACAAATTTTACACACAGTGATACAGCAAGGTTTATAAGACCATTTTATGAGGGTTGATTGTGCATGAACAAAGCTAATTGTCCAGAAATAATGCTAAACCTTTGTTTTAACGCTATGATAACGTGTAGGTAACATCCAGATGAGCATGTGCAAGAATAATAGCCTACAGTTTGGCTAAAAGTTGCTGTCTAAATTCTCAATTTTGATGATGCAACATTCATTGTGCAAGTATATTGATAACTTTTACTAAGCTTTTTTTTTTTTTTAGAATGATAATGCTCTCAAACTGGTGACCGAATAAACGTAGGCTATATACCTTATGTATTACTCACACTACAGTCTCTAAAATCCCTTGCAGTAACTTAAGGAGCCATAAATCAATAATTTCCTCCTGATCCATCACATTATTGGATTCACAGTTATTCCTCACCATGATACCTGTAGAGTCTCTGCGCGAGATTAAGACATTTTGTACGCGAATGCGCAGAGCTTTCTGATCAAAAACATGGTAATTATTAAAACTGAAGATAAAAATACACATTTAGGAGTGATTCTAATATTAATTGAGCGCATACAGTACGTTTGGCTTTAAGCCCCCTGCACTGGCACGCTATTAAAATCCCCCATCACACAGGATGCTCACGAGTCATGAGAGCGTGAGAGAGCCGCGCTTAACTTACCGGAGAGAATGAGATTCCTTGTTTGAAGCGCATAATATATTCCTTTCCTCTCAACTGCGAGATCGAGCTCCAGACTTGCGGGGTTATTATAGAGATCTAGATCCAAATGAATTTTAGCTTTATTTGAGCGTGTGAGAGATGTGGAGTCTTTCTCCATACGGTTGTATTGGAAAAGATACTGGGCGCACCGCGGACTGAGGACCGGAGGAGCGCGTATCCATGCAGCTGTCTGTGATACTCCCGCCCTCACAGTCTCCCCAGGGACAGGCAAATTATGCCTGTCGTTCGCTGCAAGCTGATTGGTCGAGCAAAACTGTCAGTCAAGTGAGGGCTCCCTCATAAACTGGAAAGGGGGCGGGGCTATTACATCGCTCGCTTTTTACCGTCTCTCTCTTCCCTCTGCATTTTCATACTCCCACTTTCTCTGTATCTTTGCCTCGTCAACTTAATCTCTATTTGTAGTTTTCTGCGCTCTGCCCGTGAGTCTACGACTCTGATAAAGAAACGCTATTTGAATATTCAAATGCTGACGACTGGATTTTTTACTTTCATGAGCTGTAAGCTCTAAACAAAAAACTTTTGAAATGTTTTACTTTACATGTAATGAATCTGGAATATATGAAAGTTTCACTTTTTGAAATAAGTTACAAAAAATGTAACTTTTTCACGATATTCAAATTTTTTGAGATGCACCTGTATATATATAGCCTAATGATGCAACATTCATTGTGCAAGTATATTGATAACTTTTACTAAGCTTTTTTTTTTTTTTAGAATGATAATGCTCTCAAACTGGTGACCGAATAAACGTAGGCTATATACCTTATGTATTACTCACACTACAGTCTCTAAAATCCCTTGCAGTAACTTAAGGAGCCATAAATCAATAATTTCCTCCTGATCCATCACATTATTGGATTCACAGTTATTCCTCACCATGATACCTGTAGAGTCTCTGCGCGAGATTAAGACATTTTGTACGCGAATGCGCAGAGCTTTCTGATCAAAAACATGGTAATTATTAAAACTGAAGATAAAAATACACATTTAGGAGTGATTCTAATATTAATTGAGCGCATACAGTACGTTTGGCTTTAAGCCCCCTGCACTGGCACGCTATTAAAATCCCCCATCACACAGGATGCTCACGAGTCATGAGAGCGTGAGAGAGCCGCGCTTAACTTACCGGAGAGAATGAGATTCCTTGTTTGAAGCGCATAATATATTCCTTTCCTCTCAACTGCGAGATCGAGCTCCAGACTTGCGGGGTTATTATAGAGATCTAGATCCAAATGAATTTTAGCTTTATTTGAGCGTGTGAGAGATGTGGAGTCTTTCTCCATACGGTTGTATTGGAAAAGATACTGGGCGCACCGCGGACTGAGGACCGGAGGAGCGCGTATCCATGCAGCTGTCTGTGATACTCCCGCCCTCACAGTCTCCCCAGGGACAGGCAAATTATGCCTGTCGTTCGCTGCAAGCTGATTGGTCGAGCAAAACTGTCAGTCAAGTGAGGGCTCCCTCATAAACTGGAAAGGGGGCGGGGCTATTACATCGCTCGCTTTTTACCGTCTCTCTCTTCCCTCTGCATTTTCATACTCCCACTTTCTCTGTATCTTTGCCTCGTCAACTTAATCTCTATTTGTAGTTTTCTGCGCTCTGCCCGTGAGTCTACGACTCTGATAAAGAAACGCTATTTGAATATTCAAATGCTGACGACTGGATTTTTTACTTTCATGAGCTGTAAGCTCTAAACAAAAAACTTTTGAAATGTTTTACTTTACATGTAATGAATCTGGAATATATGAAAGTTTCACTTTTTGAAATAAGTTACAAAAAATGTAACTTTTTCACGATATTCAAATTTTTTGAGATGCACCTGTATATATATAGCCTATATATGTGTGTGTGTGTGTGTGTGTGTGTGTGTGTGTGTGTGTGTATGCACCCACCAGTTGAAAACCACTGGACTAATTCTCAATGTATTTAAAACATTTATTGAGGCATTTTTACCCAGCTTTTCTCATTTTTTGCATAATTTTCCAGTTTGGCCAACAGCTTTTGTGAGATATAATTAATATTGGTAGTCTTTAGATAAGTCTTTCTTAACACACACCTAACCAGGCTCTTGCATTTACTGCAAAATCCTACTTGGCAAATCAGAATATATTTTCCCAGCATGCCGTATGTAACACTTGAGATAAACACCAACAACATTCAGGCCTGCAGAAGTAATGAAAATCACAAATCAGGATGAGCAACAGACCTGTTGCAGAAGAGGTGTGTGTGTATGACGGATGGAGGCTGCGCTAGAGCTGTTTGAAGATTTAACACTGCATAGGTTCTGACAGGAAGCTTGAAGTGAAGCGTTTACTGAATTTTATTTTCTTTAATCTGAAATTAGATTTTAAATAAATGAATTTTAAAACAGAAAAGTCGCATCAAGTGTGGTCTCAGACTTTTGGAACCTCATTGAACTGTTATTAAAAACTAGAGTAAATACAGATAAACTTTATTCAGTAAAAGATAACACAAAATGTCCTACCTATGTCTTGTGAGATATTCTAAAGGAACAGATTTTGTTCTTAGGTGTCTAGATTTTCAAGACATGGTGTTCAGGCTGTCACAAAGAAAGTAGGCCATTTCTGACCAAAGCGCTTGCTCAGCATTTGAGAGGCGTTTGGCACCAAAGTACACACTTCAACCGTGAGAAGTCGTCTTATAAGAAGCCTTACAGGGTGTCTTGCAGCTGAGAAAGCGCTCTTGCGGAAAGGCAACAAGCAAAAAAGATTACTGTACATGAAATTCCATAAAGCATGGAGTGACAGCCAGTGGCAGAAAGTTTCAGACGTGGGTGGGATGAGAAGTTTGCAGTCTCCTGGAAGACAAGGTTGCGGCTCGGTCACAGTCAGGGTCATTGTGGGTAAAGATGTGGGGGGATCAGGTCAAAACGGATGGAACAAATACTTCAGACACTACACATGTAACACTTACAGAGACCTGACCTCAAAATAAAAGCTATGTGGGATCAGTTTCACTAAGAGAAAGCCTGGAAATATTAGGCAACTTGGGATTGCCAGGCCTGAAAAAGTCATGGAAATAATTGCAACTTTAAAGAGTCATGAAAAAGGAATTGTATTCCTTTGCAATAAATTGTGCTTTGTGCCATTTATCATGAATATTATGTTTGAAAATTAGCATTGTGTATATAGATCAATAATTTCATATGGTTTTGAACAGTGTTATCTTAGTATCATTGATATCTTATAGTATTTGTTAATATAGTTTTTATTTTCAGTTTTCATTTTAGTAATTCTAGTATGTACTTTCGCCATTTTTCCATTTATGTGTATAATTATATTTAACTTTGTTTTTATTTCAGTTTCAGTATTTTTATTACCTTAAATAGTTATATTTATTAACTCTATTTTATTTCAGTTAGTTGCCAAGACAATATTTCTCATTTTCAAAGAAGTTTTCTTCTAAATTGTTTGTCTAATAGTGCGTTTTCTACATTTAATATTTATGTTTTATTTTATTTTAGCTTTATTTCAGTTAAGAAAAACAATTTTAATAGTCGGTCAACACTGGTTTTAAAAAATCTTTATTCAGTGACTTCATAAAGGTCATAAAATGTACTTTAGGAAATATTATAAAGTAAAAAATAAATAAATAAATCAAGATATGAAAAGTCACACTATGAGATATAAAATTGCAATTACAGAACATAAATTTGCTAGACATAAAGTCACGTGACACATGAAGTTGAAAATATGAGAAATAAAGTTGCAATTTTTTCCCCCGCAGAAACTCTTCTGTAACAAAAACAGCCAAAATTCATAGTCGAGTTAAGATTCAAGAAGTCTTTTCCTTTTCCTACATCTAAAGCTTAGGCGTTGTCCCAAATGAGTACACTAAGTGAATCAAGTGAAATATGATCTAATAATATTGTGCCCTGAAAATCAAGAGTTTTGACATTTCATCGAGTCTTTTCTTGACTTACTCCAGCAGATAAGACCCATCTGCTCTCAGAAAACTGTCCCTAATGCCCCATAATCCACTGAGCTCAACAGCATCCTCAAATAAACAACAATATGCAAATGTTGTAGTCGTACCATCTCATATCTGCTCACTCCTTCTACAGGAGCCCGAAGGACCCTCGGCAGAAGATCATCAAACGGGTCATTGGGATCGAGGGGGACTTCATCAAGTAAGTTTGTCCCAAATGAAGTTATGAATGACGTTTGATGGCATCATGATTGATTCTTGGGTTCTAATGGCAGAACATGTTTTGTTGCCTGAAAAGTGTTTACTCAGATCAACAGGCCTTTGTAGCACCGCTAGAAGGATCTGTTTGAGCTTATTAAACGCGCCAATTCAGGCTCGGTCCTCTTTAAATGCTTGTATCGCACAAATGCACCATTTAGCCGTAAGTGTCATTAAACATTAATGTCTCATCAAACCATTCACGGCCAAAAGCATTACATCTCAAGGTGATCTTGGGATTGGGTTGAGGAAATCCCAGGCCTGATGACTTCTCGAGTTTGATTTCGAGATGATTCATATGAAGAGGAAGTTAATTTTGTTCTGTAATGGCTGATGAAGAAAAACTGTTATTAAAAATCTGAAATTTCCTTCACGTTCTCGCTCTAAAGCGCTCACAGCACCGCCTGCAATGGATATGAGCTATTGCTGTGTCAGAGTCATCTTAAATATAAAACAAAGACTGCAGCAGCTGTGCGAACATTAATTATTGATCTTAGATTTAGAGAGCGGGCCAAGAGCCAAATGCAGGATTGGTGAATACACATAGCTGGTCAACTGTAACATAAACAGCGAGAAATGAAAAATAGCCTGATGTTTTCCTGCATTCAAAGCAGCCAGAATCCATTACTGTGTTAATGCATGATTGTTTTTTCTATTATCAGAACGCTGGGATATAAAAACCGTTATGTAAGAGTTCCAGATGGACATCTGTGGATCGAGGGGGACCATCATGGACACAGTTTCGACAGCAACACATTTGGACCGGTAATCAATGAATTGGTGCTTACTAAGGACAAAATCTCATAGGCATACACTGACACACTTAGGAATGACATGACATAAACACTTTAGCAGCACCATAGCAACAACCAAAAGCACCCTAGAATCATGTCGGCTAGTTTTGCATCACTCATATTCTCTTCATTTTTTTTTATATTTAAAAAATAAAATGTATTCCAAAACATTTCAATATTTTAAACATTTTGAACACAATGGATGATTTAATTTTGTAGGTTTTGCTTTTTTTTAGTTATTAGTTTTTTTTTTGTTTGTTTGTTTTCAAATTTAGTATTTTGCTTAACTGATATTATTAGGGATTTTTGTAAATTGAAATGAAAAAACTGTTAAAAAATTACAAAATGATTACTCAAAAATGTAAATATTAGATTAAACTATTACTGCTTTAAATTTATAGTTTTTTATGCATGTTACAACACCAATAAGACTTTCAAAATTACATCAAAGTTTAAAAATAATATTTATATTGTCAAATGTTATTACAATTATAAATGTAATTAATGTTTTATATACACATACCATTCAAAAAATTGGTATGATTTTTATTTTTTTTTTTGGAAGAAATTAATGTTTTTCAGCATGGATGCACTAAATTAAACAAAAGTGATGGTAAAGATATTGATAATGTTACAAAGGATTTCTATTTCTTAAATAAATAGTTTTTTATATTTGCTTATTTCATGAAAAATGTGTCACAGTTAAATAAATACTATTAATTTTTATTTCTTTTACTTTTTTACTGTTTTTTTTTTTTATTATTAATCAAAGATAATGAAAAATATGAAGTATCCAGGATTATGTGATACTGAAGACTGGAGTAATGGCTGCTGAAAATTCAGCTTTATCATCACAAAAATGATTTACATTTTAAAATGTATTCAAATAGAAAACAGGTGTTTTAAATTGGAATGATATTTCACAATTGTACAGATTTTTTGCTGTTTTCAATTAAATAAATGCATTTTTTATGAGCTTCTTTCAAAAACATGAAAAATCTCACCGGCCCCAAACTTTTAAATGGTAGTGGAAATAACATATATTAAAAAACTATTTTTAAAAATTAGATTTAATTGTTGACTATAGCAGGTAAAGATGCAAAATAAAAAATCAATTTGGTATTTATTTTCAATTTCAAACTAAGATAGCATATTACTAGTCAACTACAGTACAAAACAAGTATCCAGCCAGTCATTTTCTCAGGCATGTCTCTAGATGCTATACATTTGTCTGATCCCACAGGTGACCGATGGAAACTGTCTTTCAGGCTGCAGTTTTAAAGGGTCTTTTCTGGAAGTCACCACCGTAGGCAGATTTCGCCACAAATAGACTTGTTTATAAAAAATTCAACAAACACCGCCAAAGATTGCCGCTTTCTGGGGACTTTGTTAACAGCCTTGACGCGCTCGAATGCCCCCGCCTGTAATGTATAGAGATTGAGGTATTATTGGTTCTTTGAAGAAGCTTCTTTGCTGCACGGCTCCTCAGATACATTATTAAACACAGCAGTGATTCTTTCTCCCATCTCAACTCAGACTGTGACACGACTCGCTACAATCATTCGCAATACCGTCAAGATGTGTTGCTCAGATTCGTCCTTGAAATGTTTTTAAATGTTGGGATTTGCTTGCTTGGACTGAAATCGTCCTGTCCATTTAGTCACTGACTTCCTTCAGTTTTGATGGTTTTGCACCGGCTGAGGTTTTCGAGTGTTCGTCCTCAGGAGGATTTTTAATGATGTTTCTTGTCAGAAAGCAAATGAATATGTTTCTTACTGAACCACATACTTCCTAGGTCTCTTTTATTATTGTTTCACATCCATTACCCAAAACGTTTTTGGTTTCCCCCAGAGACCAGGCTTGAAAAACTCAAGGGAGTGGTGTGAGATAGATTTGGTGAAAAACCATCAGGTCATATATCACTAAGCAAATATTCTCGCTGGATGTTTCAGGCAATTGCTTTCACTTTTGTCAGTACAGACCGCGCCGTTACCTTGACTTGATGTAGGCCTATTATGCAGCAAGATGTGTGTGTTTTGGAGGAAATAAACTTTTCGAGGCAACATTTAAATCTTTCTGAGAATTTTAAATGGATATTTAATGCTGCAAAGGCTTCTAATATTGTTGATCGAAATATTTGGATTGTGAAATAATGACAATACTCCAGCATTTCACAAAGCGCTGATTGAAAGTCAGGTCACAATATCCTGACTGTCTGAGACCGTGTTTATTTTGCCCACAAAACACTGCAAAATGTCACACGGATTCGACTCAGACATCCAATTTGTGGGCTTAAAGGGATAGTTCAGCTAAAAATGAAAATCATTTAACTCATTTAGTTCAGAACCTCTTCTGAACATCATTGTTACAATTCTGTAGGACAAACAAAATGTCATTTTTGACCCCATTGACTTTCATTGTATGGACAAAACTATTGTGTTCCACAGAAGGAAAAAAAAGCCATACAGTTTTGGAATGACATTTTGGGGTGAACTAAAGACTGTACCAGGGTTATTATTTTTAAATAAAACTTTTTTTTTTTTATTCATTACTTGAAATAAATGTGTGTGTGTGTGTGATATCCTATGGTGCTGACTCATTTTTCTACATTGTTACAAAAAAAAAAAGAACTTGTTTGAAACTCAGTAGAGATTTATAAAGAAATGTTTATCATAATGAATGTGTATTTTCATACCAAACAGTGTTAAGATGCATTGGAGACCAGCAGAGCTGTTTTATTCAATTGTATGTTTGATATATTAAAAAATTTCAATAAATGTTGAAATAAATTCATAGTCACTTGGTTTTTGAAAAATATTTATAGGTTTATGTTTTAAATTTAATCTGCATTACCATTTTAAAATAATATTTACAAAATTCACATTAAATCAACATTAAATAAATACACTGGGTGTGTGGGATTAATCACCATAAAGTGTTAAATGTGTATACTTGCGAGTAATAATTTCTCAACACCTTGAGTGATTAAAATGAAACACTAACACAGTGTTTGTATAATAAACACTTTTGTCAGTGTTGTTTTAACACTAGCAAAGATGGACCTGTATGTTCACCCGAAAAGTGATAATTTTAACACCCATGGTGACAAATCTCCCAACATATTTTTGCTGTGTAGCTAGAGATATATTGCTTTGTATTCACTGGATGAGAAAAGCACGTAATTCTTGTTTTAGTTGCTCTTTGTTAAACGACAGTCTATCAAAAGCTACTTACTCCTTAAGAAATAGGCCGTTTTGTTTGACTTTATAAAGCGTTTCATGGTAGTTTATAAGCAGAAGCTTGATGATTCTGATCTCCACAGGTTTCTCGGGGTCTTGTTCATGGTCGGGCGTCTCACATCATCTGGCCGCCCAGTCGCTGGCAGCGGATCGAGCCGTCTGTCCCTCCAGAACGAAGACCGCTGTTAAACTGGGATGGAGCAACAGAGGACGGTTATGATGACTGAAATGAAGGACAGTTAAACAACCATTTTAACCCTCATGTACAGTAAATGTAAATCGTGTGGTATGGACTATAGAAATGCTCCTGTTGAATCCTTGTGGGCCAAATCAGAGCCCAAGAAAGACTTTCTGGTTTTTAGCCACAGTTAAGGCGATTATTGTCAGTTGTATTCTTGACCCTTTTGTCAGGTCGATGTCAGTTCAGTGGCCAGATGACTCTACTCTATTATACTCTTTTTAGTTTTTATTAATAAATCACAGTTATCTGCCAAATGAATTATTTTTTTAAGGTCAATGGTGTATCTATCTATATATATATATATATATATATATAAAATGTGTTATTTATATAAATTGAAAATCTTATCCTATAAAAATCACACATACACACACAGAGAGAGAAAGTGAGGTTTATATAACACCTAACACTTTATTAACCAAAATAATTGCTATAACCCATCTTATAAATATAAATATGTATTATACAGAATTAAGTAAATTGTAATATTTGTATTGCATTAACATTACAAAAAGTAATCTACTAGAATATCAACACCACATTTTAAAACGCTGTGCTTCCGTGGTAGAAAAATACCCTTTTTTTGTTTTGTTTTGTTCATTCTTTTATATATATTTAATAAAACATGCATGTTTTATAATATATTATTTATCCAAATACATATTTATATTAAAGGTTACTTTTTAATTGGTTCTCCTAAGATTTTCGACTCATACGTAAGCTAATGACTGTTGTGAGCTTTGAAAATGGCTAATAAAAAGTTGCTCATGTGTCTTATAGGAATAGTTTACCCAAAAATGTACCCAAGATTTAGAATAGATTTAGAGAAATTACAACACATTACATCATGTGCTCACCAATGGATTCTCTGTAGTGAATGGGTGCCGTCAGAATGAGAGTCCAAACAGCTGATTAAAACATCACAATAAACTGCAAGTAATCCACACAAAAAAGATGCATGTTTGTAATAAATATGTCCTCAATCCATAATATTGCTTTTTCCAGTGAAAAAGTCGTCTCGTCTGAATCGGGAGAGAAAAATGCACAGATCAAGCACAGAAGCAACAATGATTTAATGATTTTAAAATGATTTAATGATGGATTATTTATTACAAACACACAGCTTTTTACTTCACAAGATTTTAGTTGATGGACTGGAGTCATGTGGATAACTTGTGTAATATTGTGATGTTTTTATCAGCTGTTTGGACTCTCATTCTGACGGCACCCATTCACTGCAGAGGATCCACTGGTGAGCAAGTGATGCAATGCTAAATCTGTTGCGATGAGAAACAAACTCACTTACATCTTGGATGGCCTGAGGGTGATCACATCACATGTTTATTTTGGGGTGTACTGTTACTTTAAACTCACACATAAACTCATTCTTGGAGTGGTCAGTCTTTATATGGCAGCTATTTACAACTTCCAATTAATGCCAATACATTCAAGTCAAATGAAGCTTTTGCTTATGTTCTTCTCAATGTCATATCTGGCACATCCATTCATAGTATTTTCATATGCACAAATCCAATGTGAAAGCACAAATGGCTGCAATTTTGTATTGATCTCATGCTGCCTACGATAGATTTGTGCTTAAATGCTATAGCTGTGAATTTTCCGATTGCTCTAAGACAGGCTTCCTTGAGGGGGTCGAACATCATGCAAGACTAAACTCGATAGGATTTAATGTGAGTGGCCACAGGTCAATACGGATATTCGCACAAGGCTGTGATGAGTTCAATGGCTATCAAACATAAATCAACACAGACAGCCCTAGGGCTAAAGTACGCCGGGGAATAGGCACAAATCTTAGGATACTGGAGATAATGGAGCCGCAGCCAAGCGGGGCCTGAAGATCCTTGATTTGAAACGGTGCGTGCGTGTGTACGACAGGAACGTGTTTTTCACGTCTGACACTCTGCATTCGCTTCCCATTCGGAGTAAATAAGATGTCTTGCATTGGTGACGAAGCATGATTTCGATATCAAGCTTTTAATCTTCTCTAGAAGGACACGGGGAACGAGCATGTCATAGCAGCCTATTTCAGTTCCCACAAAGCTATTCAGAGGGGAAGCAATTTCTCATTGAACATGACAACCACATTACATACCCACAAGAGGAAATTGAAGCCCCAAATTGAATTTACCTTACAGAATCACAGAGATGTGCACTTCGGATGTTGATGTAGGCCTAAATGCAAGCTGAATTGTGTATCTTTCGCATGAAGCTGTTTTGTACTGGAGATACTCGCATGTAGTTCATCATGTGTTTTTTATGTTTAAATGGGGTTATGTTGCATTCCAGTCAACTCGGAACTTGGAAGAGAAGAAACTGTTGAAGAAAGTCGTTATTTTTGTTTTCTTTACGCACAGAAAGTATTCTAGTAGCTTCATAAAATTACGGTTGAACCACTCATGTCACATGGACTATTTTAAAGGGGTCATATGATGCGATTTCAAGTTTTCCTTTCTCTTTGGAGTGTTACAAGCTGATTGTGCATAGATAAGATCCCTGAAGTTGCAAAGACTAAAGTCTCAAAACCAAAGCGAGATTACCGTACTTACAACAGAACAGCAATGCATTTTATGGACGACCGTTTCGTGAACCTAGGAGAGGAGGTAATTCTGACTTTGCTATGACAATCTGGCGCTTCTGAATCAGCTACTGTTTTGTTATTAGTTTAAGTATTTGCTATTGACTGTTCAAATGCGGAGTTTTGCGCATCGTGTGTGTGTGTGCGTGTGCGCGTGTGTGTGAGCGAGAAAGAGAGAGAGACAGGGTCACTCACAGTGGAGTCAGCTGTTTTAACCGTGGCTTGTGTACTGCAAACACATATTCATCACTGTGTCTGTCATGAGACTCTGTTCCCCTTTCGGGCTCTGTCTTTACATTTATTTTGAAAGATGAAGCGATGATTATGGTAAGGGGCGTTACATTTCCGACGAGTGCTTGCGGTGTTCGGCCAATCACAATGCACTGGGTCAGTTGGCCAATCAGAGCAGACTGCGCTTGTCAAAGGAGGGGGCTTTGTAGAAAACGAAGCGTTTGAGAGAGGCGGGGCATATAGGACCTACAATAATGTACAGTATTTGAAAAATAATGTTTTTTTTTAACATTAAAGCATGTCAACATATTCTGTTACACCAAATACACAAAATAATGATCTTTAAAAAAGCATCATATGACCCCTTTAACAATGTCCTTACTACCGTTCTGGGCCTTGAACGTGTCAGTTGCGTTGCTGTCTATGGAGGGTCAGAAAGCTCTCGGATATCATCAAAAATATCTTAATTTGTGTTCCAAAGACGAACACAAATGAATCAGCCTTGCTGATTTGGAACGACATGAAGGTGAGTAATTAATGACAGAATTTTCATTTTGGGTGAACTATCCCTTTAAATCTAAAGAAAAATTAAGATTAAACATTATTTTTCTTAAGATTAAGGTGGATAGGGACATGGACAGCAGTAGTCCCTAATCACTTTCATTGTATAAAAATAGAACAGCTTGTTCACTTTGAAATATATATAGTGTTCCACAGAAGAATTCGAATCATACAGGTTTGGAACGACAAGAGGGTGAGTAAATATAGATTTTTTATTTTGGGGTGAACTGTCCATTTAAATTCCCATTTCGTAGATATTGAATTTTGTCATGCCATATGTTCAGGTTAGAATGCCAAATTGGTTTTATTATACATATATATTTGTCACCAAAATATGCTCAAAAATAGACAAAGCCACAAAGCTCAGTTATATGTGAGGCACAGGGACACAGTACTACAGGGAATATTTTTTATATTTACTGTGCAGCTGTGCTTGGCACAGGAATATAAAGGACTCTATCTTTACCTTAATTTGAAATATTCATATTCAAAGTCAACGCATAAAGTTGTGTCAGATTGAAGGAACAAATTATTCAAAGGCCAGATAAGGATAATCTTTTCTCAGCCCTCAGTGTCACCGCATGATGTAATTTTAAAATGATAACAGTTCTTAAAACCAGGTAAGACTGTTGAAAACAGTTGTGTTGCCTAATAGTTCTGTGGAAACTGTGATATTACTATTAAAAAATAATAAAAATAATACTTCAGCAAGGATGCATTAAATTAACCAAAGTAACAGTAAAGACATGTTGCAAAAAATATTTCAAATAAATGCCTTTCTTTTGAACTTTCTATTCATGAAAAAATATGGAAAATGTATCATGGTTTCCTTAAAAATATGAAGCAGCACAACTTGTTTTTAGCAGGGATAATAACAAAAATGTTTCATTAGCAAATATATTATGGCATTATCTGAGAAAGGGATTCATTTACATTGAATCTATAGTTATAGATTAGATCAATGTAACTAGTATAGTGGTTTTACCTGTGGTTACTATATGATCAGTTTTGGGGAATTTTACTTTTAAAAGCAATTGCGTCACTCTCTAAAAAAGTAACTAATTACTTTTAGTTACTTTTTATGGAAAGTAATGTTACATTACTGTTAGAAAACACTCTCTGTCTTGTTAAGGTTCCAGATGTTTCTTGTATGGTGTTTTAATGTCTCTTACTCACATTCGAGCTATGCATGCGCAAATGTATACATTAGCTTTTCTTATTCAAATGTCTAAATAAGGACATGATAGCTAGGAATGAGGTTTGTGATGAAACCATGAAGATAGTTTAGCATCCTTCGCAAAAGTCTATTCCTAATATGTCCATGTTTTTCTGTTCATATGGCCATTTTATATAAACACATGTTCTTGGCCAAAGATCCTATATGTATGTCATCTATATCCTCATTGGTTAAAGGGTTGAAACTCCCCTCGACATATGCCTATATAATATCTTTGTATCTATGAATAAATTGAAGTATTGAGAATACATTTGAATGTGTGTTTTCTTGCTTCCCGGCCGTATACACTTTAAGGAACTGAGAACTTCAAGGCGGCAAAGAGATATCGAGGGACCAATTGTTAATTTCTAACAATTACTTTATCTCATCTGACTTGGCTTCATTTTCTCTCTTCAGAAACAAACAAATAAAAAAAGAAACACAAATGATATGTTGTCTAAAGTCATATTTGCTTATTAGTGTGGTTGAATTGGATTATCAAAGGTCAGCAGCAAAGACATTGATTAATAAAATGTGATTAAGTACATAACGGATATTTGTGTTATTTAGCCTAACATTTAGTTATTGCAGGTTTGTGTCATATTCTGAGTTTGCATTATACTGTTTTTATTCATTCTGAGGGAACCTAAATCTCTTTTTGTGCAAGTGAGATAAGTAAATGGATGTTGACATTTAGTCTAGAACTATAGTAACCATCATGTTTACACAGCGCACATAAAGTCTCTGCACTTACTCCCGATTTCTCTCAACATGAGGACAGGAGAGCTGCCAGTCAATACATGGGAAACATTCTGGCATTAGTTATTTGAAAAAGTAACTCAGATATAAAAGTAATGTGTTCAAGTAATCTGATTGCGTAACTTGTGTTACTTATAATGCATTACCCCCGACACTGACTATGATCCTACTATAAATGCTATATAAAAACTATTTTACTCTGCAAGAACTGTGGTAAATCTTCATAAAGGAGCAGCAGACCTTTCCAAATGTGTGTGCAGTCCGAAACACCTTGTGCATCATCTTAAAAAGCTCTCTATTCACTCATGTGGTGGCAACAGGCTGCAGAATCCGACTGACCCAATTAAAACAGCGTCCTCAGCTCAGGGCCTCAAGGCAGCTTGCAGTTGTGTGGTTTCACTGATAAGCAACACGGAGCAAAGAAGCCGCTGTATTACTACCTGGCTTTTGTGCTGACACCCCCTTAAGGCCTCAGTAATGGCAGCCACAACAGGACATTTGCAAAGGGTAATAAGCTCATTAACTGATTCAGCATGGATGTGGCTTTTTGTGTGCTATAAATGCACCATGCACCTTCTTGTCTGGACCCTAAAGGCTATTTTAGAAAACAGGTAATTGTAATAGTATATTGCAAATTAGTGGATTCTGATGGTTATCTCGGGTGTGGAATCAACCTGAGAGAAATCTTGAAAAGTTTGCTAGCAATGCCACCTAAAGCTCAACATAATGAAACAGCGCCATCTTGAGGCTAAATAAATATATCAAGGGTGTTTTTAGTAACATTCTTACATTTCAAACCATTTAATTTTTTTTACCACTCTCCTGCTTAATCCTGTTTTTGTTTTCTTTTTTGGAAGGAAAATGAGATTAAAAGCTGGCAGAACACCTTAGCTACCAGATGGACATGCCAGCTAAAAAGGATAGTTCACTCAAAAATGAAAATTAAGTCATCATGTACTCACCCCTTGTGTTGTTCTATGCCATATGCGCTTCTTTATATTTCATACCACAAACGGAGAAACTCGCGAAAGCTTTTATTAAAGCTTTTTAAAATTTTAAATTAAAGCTATCTTTTTTTTTTTTTTTTTTAAAAACGTAACGTTACAATGTCACAGAAGACCAAAAAGCAATAAAATAGTCATTTCTAATCATCAACATAAAAACCTTTCGGAGACATCCTTATTTAAAAAAACTTTTTAAAATTTTAAATTAAAGCTTTTTTTTTTTTTTTTTTTTTTAAAGACGTAACGTTACAATGTCACAGAATGGTTCCATGCGACACGTGTCGTATAGTCCAAGTGTTCTGTCGGTATACAGTAGGTTTTAGTGAAAAACAAACCTAAATTCAATGTATTATGTGCCGTTTGTGCACTGCTGCGCATTCATGAGAAATCAAAATTAATCCAAATGAAATAAATAAACGTGTATAAATATCTGACCGTGTAAGGCACAATTAATCTTAAATTCTTTGGAGCAATATACAATTAAATAGAATTTAACTGAATTAATGCGCGTCCTCCAGTCCGGTAGAAAGCGCTGCGCGTATATCAACTTGGTCCTTCAAGAGAAGTTGTTTTGAAAACGCCAGTGTTCAAATACACACAGTCCAGAAAGGGGACATCGGCTTTAATCATTTAACCCTCTCACTAGAAGGCCAGCCGAGTTGTCTTCATTATCGGTAAGCTTTTCCGTCAATGTGTTTTTCCCCGCTTCCCGTCGGTTTGCCTTCATAAACACATAAAGCAGTCCGGTCTGTAACATTATATGCTAGTGTTGTGCTAGTAATGAATAGCTCCTTCATTTTAAGAATGTGTCAGGATGGAACAGTCAAGATAAAATATGGATAAATAAAAGAAATGTTCGTTTGTTATTGAGACCGAACATTTGTGTGTCTTGCACGTTAAATACAGCTTGATGGGTAGTTAAATAAATGTAGAGGCACTTACTGTAACTAAAACAGTTTACATTTGAACAAATCGGCCATTGCAGTATGTTAAGATGTTAAAATGAATGATTTAATGTTCAACTAATATTAAAACCAAGCTTTAGCCTTTTATGAATATGCATATCATCTCAAACGGCTCATGCTACTATTTAGCCTAGTAAATAAATACAATGCAGTCTACGTTAATACAGCTTATATTATCAACGTAGCATCCAATGAAAAACAATCTATTAGTACTAATATTATTAATTAATTATGCGTTTATACTATTATCTTTTAAATGTAATTTGCAGTATTACTATTAATTTAATAACATCTTACTACTTGAAATGTCCCTCTTTTGCTTTAAAAGCAGCATGAAATCCACTAGATGATATTGACTGAATGTAAATTGAACTCATACTTCCAATGATAAATGTTTGGTCTCTTTCAGATCAACTTAATGCTGTGCCCTTAGGCCAGCGTTTCAAATGAACATGTCTCTTGCTCAAAGAGTCCTCCTGACATGGATCTTCACACTTATATTCCTTATTATGCTGGTCCTGAAGTTGGACGGGAAGATCTTTTGGAGCTGGTTCCTCATCTTCCTTCCTGTCTGGACCTTTGATCTTATTCTCCTCCTCATGCTACTTGTCAAAATGGCAGGCCGCTGCAAGCCGGGCTTCGACCCTCGCAACGGGGCGGAGAACTTAAAGAAGCGCGTGTGGTACCTCGTGGCCATGCTGCTTAAACTGGCATTTTGTCTGACGCTCTGTGCCAAATTAGAAGGCCTAATGGACATCTTGGTGAGCTCGGTTTGCGTCCCTCTGTGGGCACTGCTCATCGGAGCTATGGCCGAACTGGGCTACAACGTTTTCCACTTCAGAAGAGACTGAACATATGAACGGTATTCTTTGAAAGCCAGCAGAAGTCTTTACTGTATTCTTCAGGAATAAAATCATCTTGAAAGTAGATGTTATTTATTAAAAAGGGAATATATAACGGACAATAAGAATGTACATCTGTTTCGAGCTCTTTATCAGGAATTGCTTGTTTCTTTCAGGCTCAAGAGTGACTACGCTGAATAGCCTACGTTTCATGTTCACAGTGATGCAGGGAGGGTTACGTATTTTGGCTCAGTGGTGAGTTTCCACTCAGGTGACTGAAATGACTGATTGTGAATGTTGCTCAGAATATTTATTGCATTTTAGTGAAACACTGAGATCATTAGTGGCATAACATAATGAACATTTGAAAAATAACCGTTAACGTGCTGCATACACACTGTTTGTTCAACCAGTACTGTAACACAACATGGTTTGCTTACTGAAACGACATACGTTCTACAATAATGGTGTATATTTATGAATCTGTGTTTCTTTACATGCACTTATGTTTTGCATTGCAGAATTTACGTAATACATGTTTACAAAATGCAATTTTAATTTTCTCTTGTGCAGAGTCTGTAAATAATAATAATAAAAAGTAATAACAGCATCCTTGTAATTAAAAGATACATATTTATTTTCTTTATGACAAGTATGTTCAGTAAGTGCACAGTTATTATATTTAAAAATGTTTCCAAGATCATGCAGAAAAGCAGTTACAATTCTGCGGGGAGTAAAATATGTATTTCTAGAAGAAATGTAGTAATTTATTCATTAGTTAATTTTAAGTAATTAAATTATGATCCTCCTTTTTAACTGAAATTGACATTTCCTCTTAGAAAGAGTCGTCTGTCTTTTTGGGGTGTACATACAAACAATGTTTGAAAATAACACTTAGTGTTAATTCAAAATTCCTACAATGTACAATGAAAATAATAGAAAATTACAGATGCTTTTATTCAGCTGGTAAAAACCAGCTATTTGTATAAAAAAAAAAAAAAACAGCATCTGAAATTCTGCAAATATCCATGTAAACGTAGTCATGGATTGGCCCAGACTTACAGACATTTTAGTGTTTGTAAGTTTAAAAAAATACAATATACAAGATAATAGCTGAATCTGTAAATAGCATGGTTTCATGTCTTATGCAATTCAGCATATTCAAAGCAACACAAGAGGCTCAGTTGTGTATTCTATGTATTCTAGGGATGGGCGATACCACTTATTTTGTTTTCGATACGATACCGATATTTTTCAAGGCAGTATCATCGATATCGATACCGATACGATACTTCTGAACTAAACTTTTAAATTATGAAATTTATTAAATTACTAAGAGAAAAATGGGTAATGATAACCAATTAACTTTGTTTAAAACGCATTTTAACATTCAATACGTCTTAATTGTAACTTATTAGGTTATATTTTTGCAACCTTTTTATTCTGACAGTGTATGATTTATATTAACATTACAGAATAGAACATGATCAATATTATCTTTCAACGTTCAATTTCAATAAATGTAATTGCACAAACTATGTAGGCTAATTTCAATTTGTTTATTGTGAAATAACTCAAACATGTATGTTTTTTTTTCTTCCGTCCTCTGATAAGCATTTTTCAGAGCTGCCGTTCCCAAAAGCTTTAATGCTTTCTTATGATACTTTTGGGAAACGCAGCCCTGTTTGAATGCACTGTCAGAAGTGAGTGAACACTCTCTGTGATGGATTGGTTCTGTCTTGCAACATTTGCGTGTGTTCAGATGAACAGGAAAATAGTTCTATCCTACACAATTATTTACTAGCATAGGTTATTCGTCCAATTCAATGCATTATTTTTTTGTTAAATAAACAAAATCACTGGTAAATAAAACACACCTTAGTATCGATATTTATTGTTTGAGTATCGATACTTTCGATACTCGCATCAGTATCGATATATCGATACTTCGGATCGATACGCCCATCCCTAATATATTCTACTAATGCATATGTGTACAGCTCAAAAAAACAACAACATAGATACAGAAACATTTATCAATGTTTATTCAAGTTCTGACACCACACTTATATTTTCTATTAATAAAGCAATAAACACGAGTAGCAATATACTTAAGGCATTTGCCTTTTTTGTACCATCTAACTTCAAAAGAGAGCTTAATTTTTGTTGGTAAGTTTTAGAATGGGTGGGTATAATATTACTTAGGGTTAGGGTTAAACTACCTCATAGTTTTTAGGTCTAATCATCATTTTAACAGTCTTAAAAGATTGTCTATCATTGGTTGGGTAATATTCCATTGTAATGTTGTGCCACGTACCCCAAAATATCCCATTACGCACCCCTTTGTACTTTGATTGATAATATCTCCCATTTAAGTTTGCAGACATGCATGCATCAAACCACCAGCCTGAGCTGTAATAGGCCCCGCAGTTTCCAGAGGGATACTGGTCATTGTCTCTGTCCGGAGTGGTAAAGAGCTTCTGGTCGTGATTGTAATTCTTACTAAACTGCATGGCATTACCAGCTGTACCGGAGTAACCACCAATGGACAGGCGGTATTGTTGGCTTTCATTGGCCACATAGAAGTGGTCATAATGAGCATATTCTTTGATACCCTCAAAGTCTTCGATTTCTATTCGCAATGACATGTTCTTCGCCTTTGTCAACAAGTGAATCTTGTCATTGCCAAGCCAAAACTCCCCTATTAGTTTACCAAATCCATTCTTGTACTCGTCCCATGTGCGATTGAAACTTGTGCTGCCATCAAAGCGATGCTGTATCAAAGTCCAGCCCCCGCCAGAAGACTCCATGTCACAGAAAACAGGAAACATGCTGCTCTTTGGCTGCGGCGTTACTCCATATACACCATTCCTTCGGGATTTCGTAATGTAATCAGCACAGTCTTGTGCAGGTCCTTTTTCTGTGGTCAATAAAAACTGTTTTAAGTTACCTCATTCTTTGTTTATGAAAAATGCATTTACAATGTATAAACAGCCTAAATCTGTATGCTTAAACATCTTAAGGAGCATTTCTTTGCCATTGTTATCTTTCAACTAGAGAAGCTTTAAGGCACTTTTATTTGTAAAGCTACTTTGAAACCATATTTATTGTGGAAAGCCCAATACAAATAAATTCAATTGGGTTGAAATTGAAAAAATAAACGTTCAGCTGAAAATCTGGATCTTATGAATTTGTAAACGAATGCAGAGCAAGATGATGCACTGAAATTGTTTTCTATCCATCTTTGTTGTTAGACCCAAACAACGAAGCTGCATTCGACAGACTATACTTAAGGTTTTGTTTAAAAGATATGCAAAAGCTGTTTTATACATAGACATTTGGACCACCTGGATTTGATTTATCCATGGTTTCAAGAGTTTACATTGGGCCAAATTTCAGACTCCAATCACCGGACAAGTAAATTTAGCACTAGGCATGGAATGATACTGAACTTCTGCGTGCATTAATTATGCATTGCAAAAAAGACTTTGCCTTTGAGCCTTCCCTCAAGCTCAACAAAGACACCACATCCTGATACATCAGACAAAAGAAGAGGCCTACAGCTGGTCCTCTTCACAAAAACCACAACATCTGCTACTCAGATGAGAATCTATATCCACTTATCCTTGTTATGGAATTCTATCACACTATCAAGATAAAGTGCGGGGTCACAGAACATGTGTTAAACGGATACGTTCATATTATATTATTTCCTGGGAATGATTATCTGGGTAGATTGTACCTGTAGTTATTTTTGGACATTTGTCCCTGTTTGCACTCTGCTAAAACCTTGGGTATAATCTATACAAAGAGTCAAACTGACTTATCCCACTGTACTGTAAGCTTTGTGTCAAATAAACATGCACTGCTGCCATACTCTAAACACTCTGGAGGGCTTTTTACAGTGTGAATTAAGAGTAAATACTCGTTTCTTAAAAATAAACATTTACATGGGTTGTGTAAGAAAATTCCTCACCTCTTCCAGAGTCCACTGGGGGCCTGGTCTGGGCTGTAGACTGTTGGGTTGACGTAGTGTTACAATCACTGTCACAGGTGCTATGGATCTTGTTCTCTACTTGCTCTCTCCCTGTCACCTCATCACTGACTGCATGTGATTTAAACCCCTCAGCAGTGTCCTCGGGGCTGAGTGAGAAAAGCTTTGAGCCTTTAATTTCTTCAACATTTGTAAGCGTTTCCAAAACAACTGGATCTGTGTACCTCTCTCCACTGTACCCTTGGGCAGTGTCCGCACTGTTTGGGTTAGATAATATCTCCCCAGAGTTTTCTTCCACTCTGTCTTTATTAAATTTAATAAGTTCCCGTTCTCTTGTTGCTCCAATACTTTCAAAGCTTATGGGTGTTTCCCAACTATCGTTTTTAGCCATTTCAACATGTGTATTTGTCACTTTATGAATATTTTTTGAGCTGTCTTTATGGTTTATGTCCATAAAAGAGACTGTCGAGGTGGTAAATAGATTTGTTCCTGGTTCCTTAGATGACTCTTTCTTTAAGGTTGGTGCAGTTGGTCCTTTCTTTCCACTGCTGATCTTGTCCACCTCAAATGGTTGTTGATTGCTGGTATCATCAGTTCCCAAATTAAAAATCTTGCTTTCTTTCCCACCAGTATGTGAATTCCAGGCTCCGCTTTGCAGATTGTTAGGATCCTCTGTACTCCCAGTCTCACTGTTGTCTCTAAGTTGGTTCTTACTTTGTTGAACCTTATCCAAATCTTGTACGTTACTTGAATTTTGAGACTCTGGTTGTGATTGTGACTCTGTACTGTTGTTTTTTAACCATTTATTGTCCAATACATTTGACCTCATTACCAGCGGAATGGGTTTGATTTCTTCTGTTTGTTCTTGTTCTGTTGCACCAGTGGGACTGGAGAATTTAGTCACTGTGTTTACCTTTGTCTTGAAGTCTCTGGTTGTGTTTGGCTCAGTTTGAAAGTTTGACCTCCTTATATAGCTTGGTCTTATAATTCCAGAGCCATTTTTCCTTGCAATATTGGTATTTCTGACTGGGATTGACAGCTTTGAATGTACCCCAACACTTTTGTTTGCTGACATGTTGTCCATCACATTAGGTTGTCTTAGTTTGTTGACTCTCTGTGAAATCACAGTTGTTGGATGTCTATCGGGGTGTCTTAATGGGTTTGGCATCACATACCTTTTGTTGTCTTGGCTTACTCCACGTATCTTGCTGATGTTTTTCCTGCTGTTCTGAAACGGTCCCTCTCCAGCTGGAGCTTTGAGCGGAGTTACTGAAATTCTCCTTGTCCCCTGGCCTACTACTTGTGATTGAACCCTACTGGTAATACTCACTGTACTATCAGTCAATTTACTCTTTACAGTTGGGACAAGGGTGGGCTTCACCAGATCTTTTTCCGGCAGGGTGGCTTTACCGTGGCTTGGTAAGTCCTTCTTCATAGTACCTGCACTCAGTGAGTTGACCCCGATATGCTCATTTGCCCCTTCAATGAACGTTCCTGGCTGCATCTGATCTTTAAGATCTGGAGACAGTGGATTAACTGCCCTTTCATTAAAAGTGCTGTCAGCCTTGTCCAAAATTGTGGAAACAATTTGTCTGTTATTTGTTTCTGTA